TTAGGATAGTAAAATGAATTTTGGGAGGGGGTAAAAATATAAAAGAGAAACAACAAATTTACAATGTATCATAGAAATAGAAACTTTGCTCTCTTTAGTTTGCTCTCCAAATTGCTTTTGCTTAGACTTACAGTTTGCTTTTCATTTTTTTGTTGTTTTTATTTCAATATTTAATTTATTGTATATATATTTAATTTCTCTCATTTGCTGTGTTGTTTTTGTTATTGTTTTTATTTATTTTTTGTTTGCTTTTGGCTTTGGCTGCGCTGCGGCCGCCTTATAATGAAAATTTAACTCTCGCTTACAATTCGTATGTTTCTGTATGTGTGTGTGTTTGTGTGTGTGTTTGATATATTGGTAACCTGTTCTCCTCCTGCTCCTAATACAGACACCAACTCTAAAATTGAATGCACTCCCGGCGCCTGCGACAGCAGCAGCGAGCGCCTTCCTCCTCTATCTTAATCTCCAATCGCGCTTAGGCGAGCGTCGGGAATTGGCGCTCATCGTTGACCTTGGGTGCAGCATTCTGTTGCCGCTCGTTGCCAAAACGCTTGCCAGCATGACCACCGCCAATGCCGCCGCCCAAGCCGCGACGCTCAATTGGTGGCCGACTGCCGCCCTCGAGACGAGCCGATGGACCGCCACTGCCGCCACCACCGCCGCCGCCGCCAACATTGCCACCATCGGCATTGCCAGCGCCGCCACCGCCGCCGCCGCCTTGTGGTCCGCTTTGCGGTCCGCCGCGATTGCCCTCGTTGCGTGGTCCGCCCGGACGTGGTCCACCACGGCCGCGACCACCGAAACCACTGCCGCCTCCGCGACGACCGTCATTGAAATTAAACTGAATGTCAAGGACGCGCTGCTGGCGGCCCACGCGCTGCGGATACATGGCAGGATCGTATTCAAGTTCCTCTTCGCTTTCGTTCTCCTTCTTTTTGTTGTTGTTCAGCACAATCATTTTCTTCCATTGCGAAGTGTCCTCACCTGAAAAGCGTTTTCAATCTTGTTTAATTTCTATGAAATATAACCTCAAAATGTGATCGGATATTAAAATTTATATTCGTAACATTTAAAAATTTCATTAGGGAACCTTTTTTTACCCGTTTTGAAATTCTCAGAAAGCATTAAATTCATATGCTGTTCATAATATATCTAAAATATTTGTAAGCATAGAAAAATATATAATTTTTGAAAATAGAACCTTCTGGAATTAAAGCTTACTAATTAACGGGAAAAAATATTTCTATATATATGCAAATTTTATAGCACTGTTTTTTTCTAGTATCAAAATTTGCAAAATTCGAATATATCTGCTACAAATTGATTGTTGTAATCTATTTGTAGATTTGGTTAATTTTCGATCCACTATATTAATCAATGTTTAGATCTATTTGGTCTCATTTTACCCACCTTCGCCCGCCTTGCGTATGTTGAACTTGGGCTTAATGCGCTGCTGCTGCTGTGCCTTCCATTCGTCCAGGGTCAGCTCTTTGGTCTCCTCCTCTGGCGGTGTCTGCTGCTCATTGGTTTGCTCATTACCGGACTCATCGGCCTTTCCTTCGGTATTGGTATTGTTCGCATTGGTCTCGCCCTCGGTGCTCTTGTTCACATCATCGATGGCTTCCTTAACTGATCCCCAATTGTGTGCGCCAGCTCCGTCGCGTTTGTCGATTGCCTTCACACCTGTTTTGAAGAAACACGAATTAGGTTTTATTGAAATTTTCTAATATGCTTATTAAAAAAAAATATTTTTTCTTTTTCTTTTACAGAATCGAAAAAGTTCTCTTTCTTATAACACTTTCGACATTTCTACAAATCGGTAAGTGAAAAATAAAACTAATCAACTTGTAGATAATGATGGAAAATCTCAGATAAGGAACTAAGGAAAGGGCTATTGTTGCCGACCTCTACTTAGATTTTCTTATCTTCGCTGTAACCAAATGAAGCTTTCGTTTTAATAGGGGTTATTTTTTAGGAAGTTTTTCTTTAAGGTTATCAAAAATTGTACAAAAAGTATTTAAATAGTGAGAAAATGCAGTTTTTTGCAATATTATTATCCAAATTGAGATATTTTAAAGCATGTAACGTCGTGGTTTAGTATATATAAGCAACACACCCCCTGCTGCCCGCCCACACTAATCCCCCTGTTCGCCCCTGTCTTCAATCATAATGTTCCATGGCGTGGAAAACTGTGTGGGCCTGCCTACATTCGTGCAGTGTGGGGCAGGGACGACGGGGGCCTATAGAGGAATCAAACTATTTTTAAACATATTTCTATACAACAACATATCGGACTAATGAAATGTGCGCAACACTCAATTTAGTTTGTGCCTCCTCGTTTTTTTTAGTACATTTTTCTAAAGATATTAATTTTGTATACAAGAAAATGGAAGAGCGACTAGTTAATTTTTGCCCAACCTTTTGTTTTGGGGTTAGGGTTAACACCTAACATGCATATGTATATCAGATACTCACCAGTTCTGTCGGAGCCCGATTGACGATCAAATTCACGTTTACGATTGGCGCCATCAAAGTTGCGGTTCTGGCGTGGTGGACGGTCGCCGCCAAAGCCGCCGCTGCCACCGGCACCGCCGGGAGTGCGATATGATCGAGGATTGCCGTCGGCAGCAGCGTTGCCAGAGTTGCCACCTGGAGCGCCATTCTCGCGCACATTGCGGCGATTGTTGCGCTGCTCGCGCGTTACCTCGCCGCCGCCGCCGCCACCACCACCTCCGTTCTGTTGACGAAAATTGACATTACGCTGTTGTTGCTGCTGCTGCCCTTGACCAGTTTCACGTGTTTTGCCCGCAGCAGCGCTGCCAGCATTGCGCGTAGCGACAGCAGCCCCACCTTGCTTGTTGTTGTTCAGTTTGTCATTGTTGTTGCCAGCTGCGCTCTTCTTGCCATCATTTTTGTTCAATGCACCTGGTTTGTTTTCCTTTTCGGCTTGATTTGGCTTTTTGGCTCCTGCTGATGCTGCTGTCGCCGCTGCTTTTGGTGCCTTTGCCGTTGGCGCCGTTTTTGTGGTGGCTGCTGCGGCGCCAGTCGCTGGTTGCTGCTTCTTCTTGGCCGCGACAAGATTATCTAATGGATCGCTAACATCATCGTCCATGAACAAAAGTTCATAACGATTTTTACCGGCGCTATCCATGTTGTTGTTGGGCTGCTGCTGCTGCTATTGTATGGCAATATATCTTCCAAATTGATTTTTCCACACACAAATGATTTTATGCAAAAATCACACACAGAATTTCAAGAGTTTCTGTCAGGAAAAAACTCGTGTGTGTTTGGTCGCTGCTGCTGCGCCTGTATTTGTGTGTGTATGTGTTTGTTGGTGTAAGTGAGAATAGAAGAAATACGTTTTTTTAGTCTTGCTTTTTGCTATTTTTTCTTTTCTTCGTCGTCGTCGTGTGGTTGCCTGGCTGCGCTCTAACCTTAATTTTCTGCGTTTCTGCTTTGGCTGCTACACACAAACGTGCACATATACATATACCACTCAAACGCACATGTGTTCTACTACCAGAAGGCAAGGCGAAAAAAACGCAAGCATGCTGTGTATACATACACAGAACAGAGCAACTCACGTTTTTCGTTTAACATAATTGCGCCTCAGCACTTAACATTGCGCTCGTTCGCGTTTGTGAATGGCAAAAACGGAACGCAGTGTTGTGTTTAGTGGACTGTTAGCGTTGCTGTTAAAAGCGTTGCGTTTGAATTTTTGCGCTGTAAAATATTGGCTGTGTTTAGTGAGCGACATACAAATTTAACAATTTATTTGCATATAGAATAATTTAGTTGAAACTATTGCTAGCCTCCTAAGTAAAATAAAGCGCTGCCTGTTAAAGCTTTCGTTTATTAACAATTTGAATATAATTTTATTAATATATGTTATCTCCCAAAGCAGTTAACGACAAACTAAAATCATGTCCGACTGGGATGATGAGGTAAGCTAAAAGAGGGAATATTACGAAAAGTGTACTATAATTTCAATTTACATTAATGCTTAGCCTGACTGCACTAACCAGCCTATACACAAACCCCACGTTGATGATAAGTGGGATAGCAAAGAGGCATCATCCAATAAGAAGACAGTGTCGGAATGGAGCGATGAAGAAGTAGCTGTTGACAATGGTCAAGGTGGCGATGGAGATGGCAAGGGCTATCGTGGGGGTGGCCAAGGAGGTGGCTATCGTGGACGTCGCGATGATGGCCAAGGAGGCGGCTATCGTGGACGACGGGAAGACGGTGATGCCGGCGGCTATCGTGGACGTCGTGACGACGGCGATGGCGGCGGCTATCGAGGACGACGTGATGACGGCGATGGCGGCGGCTATCGTGGACGTCGTGATGGCGGCGAAGGCGGTGGCTATCGCGGACGCCGGGACGATGGCGAAGGAGGAGGCTATCGCGGACGCCGGGACGATGGCGAAGGAGGTGGCTACCGCGAAAAACGTGATGACAACGAGGATGGTGAGTATACACATGATATTCCATAAAACTACGAGTGCTAGGCAATTATTTATTGGTTCTATAGTTAAATGGAACGGCTTTGACCAACTATATAAGATAGTATTCTAGATTCATAAATCTCTTAAAGATTATTAAAATTTTGACAGGAAACGTTTATCTAATAAAGGAGAAAGGAGATCTGTTTCGATTCCATACAATAGAGTCATATATTTTTATCAGTGTCAATAGACGAGTCCGTTTTAATACGTTTGTACAGCGTATTAAAATTTTGTCATAAATTTAAATTAATGTAATTTAGCATATACCTTCTACGGGATAACATGAAGAAAATTAACAAAATATCCACATTAGACTACTATAAGCATATGCATATAGCTCCCATAGAAGTTCTCGGGGAATAATTAATTAGAAACTTTTTGCTAGTCAAGCAAACTATATAACGAGCTGCATTGGGCAGAATCTCAATATCAAATAATATATGCATATAAGATATACATATGAGATAATGCTTCCAATGGGAATTATATACTTTTAATACCTGTTGTTTGTTTTCTGTGCAATTACCGAAAGCAACTATCGTAAGATAGTTTTCAATGTGATGTAACTATATATGTCCAACTATATGTTTGTGTGTCGTTTGTTCTTGTATCTCGTCTCGACTATTGTAACGCTAACAGTGGCTCAGCTGATGCTCAGTGGAAACAGCCTTGGCCAGCGCGTGCCGAAAAGCTACGATGCGGAAACGGTGTCTGCATATATCGAAAACCTCAAACTAAATTTACCCAACCAGTCGCTGATCAAGCTGCGCGAGCAGCGCGACTATTTGCTAAAATCGTTCAGTTCGCTGGTGAACAGCGAATGGAATTTGATTCAGGAGTCCGAGCGTAAGCAGCGCCAGGAGAAGTTTAAAAAGTTGTGCGCCGCAGCTGCCGCCAGCTCGGATTCTGTAATGGCAGAAGTGGCTCAATTGCTGGAAGAATCCGAAGATGAGCTGCAGCAGTTTAGGTGTTTGCCATTTGGTGGGGGAGCACGTGCCGAGCAGTTCATCGAGGACGCAATTGTGGTGCCGTGCGCACAACAAAGACGGGAAATGTCAATGACAGCGCCAACAACTCCAAGAACAAGAGCGCCAGGAACAACAACAACAACACCTGGAAAAAGAGCACCAGGAACAACTACGCCTGGTAGAATGTTCAATGTATCGGCACGCCAGGAAGAAACTGTTGCTGCGCCCCAACAAAGCTTGGATCAGGCTATAAAAATTATCAGAAAACTTTTCAAGAATGCCGCACGTGACTTTGAACTAAATAATGGCAAACTGGAGCTTGCAACGGACGAGTCAATGTCAACAACGAACCCAATGCCAAGCGACGAGCAGCGACAACAAGAATTTCCAATACGTTGGCTATCTGAGAATTTTATGCTGATGCGCGAAATGCGTAAGCTGCGCTCTTTTGATCCCAGCGAAATGTACGAGGAGCTGCCCTGGCCGGATCTAGATGACAACCCGGTCTGGCTGTACAACAAACAGCCGCCGGTATTAGCTAAACCTTGGCTTGTGCCAACGGCGCCAGAGCAGCAGCAGCAGCTGGGTGAGGGTCGTGATCGAGATGAGGCAATCAGTTTACCTCCTTTAGCGCGCCAGGCTGTACAATCGCACAGCCAGAACACACCGGGTCAGGACAGATTGCTGCAGGATGTGCAGGACAGTGAAGCTGGTGCAAATGCCACTCCACTGGTCACCAGCAATGCCGCACAGCACATCTCCAATGATGGGTATACAACTTAAACAATTCGCTATCTCTCTCTCTCTTTCTATAGTATCTTCCAGTCTCTGTCCCGCTGTGTGTCTCTTTGCACTTACCTTATGCCAACTTCCTTGCCTGCATTAGTCTATCTATGGAAACAACGGCCAATTCGATGGAATGGTATATTCTTACACACACACAACCTTTATTTTGGGTACTAACAATTTTGACATTCACTCGAAACATATGTGACAAACTTGTAAATGAACTAAATGTATTTATGTGTGTGTGTACTGGCAGAAACACTTGCTATATAAATATATACATTAGCAGGCATTAACCAGCTAAGCTCGGGTTTTATATTTCAAACTATTATCGCCCAAGCGTGGGAATATTAAGATAATTCCGTTCTTCCATTTAGCTCAATGAGTGAACGTCTTGTGGAACTGCATTTTCTCGCATTTACTGAAAAATTTTCCACAAAAGATCTTAAAGCCCTTTGTAGGAATGACCAAAAAAATGTTTGACACAACCAGTTCCCACAAATTGTTCCAACCTTGGAGTCTCCCATAGTCCCGCTTTGGCAATTACTTAGCTTTTCTGATTTTGCGGTTTCCAATTAAAAAAAAAAAGCAAAAGTATAATTTGCTGTTGCCAGCTTATAATTCTCAATGGGTTAAAGCATCGAACTAGAAGACACATTTGTTCACATTTAGTGCTAATGCCTTGATGTTAAGCTCAAGCAAAGAGCTTCAAATTTGGCTTAAACTTGTCCCTTAAAACCCGCTTCAAATATCAGTTATAATTAGCTTTTCATTCTTCCTATTTGCATACCTCGCATGCTCATATATTTTCGCTCCACTTCACATCTTCATTTCAATGTTGATATTCATGATTGGTACTCACAAATACTCACACAATTCACAGCCTACCATCCATACCGACTGGCGACAATCAGGCAGCCAATTTAACGGACGAAGATATGCATACTTTGTACCCACCGTTGCCAGTGGTATCGCCAATGATGGAAGTGGAGAGCATCACATTGCCCATAGGGGGGGAGAGAAGTGCTAGTGGCGGGGAGAACAATGTCTCAACGCCGCTGCTGTTGCGGACACGTCATGCGCACGCATCGACCCCGTTGCAAGCGTATCGCACCCAGTTGCCGGCCATCGATGAGGAGCAACAGAATCAGAATCAGAATCGAGCCACAATGCCGCGAGTGCTTGAATTGAGTGAGGATTACACGACAGAAACAGCAAGAGCAGCAGCAGCAACAGGGCCAGCAACAGCGGATCAAGCTGAAGCAATTTCTCATGATATTCCAATTTTATTCACGCCGCCAGCAAATACTTCGCCACCATTGACTCGTGATTGGACCTCAATCTTTCGTCCGCGAACAGCTTTACCAATTTATGCACCTAGTCCTACCTCAACAACAACAACACCTCCATTACCGCCCAGACGCCGACGCAAACGCAGGCTTCCAAGGCCGCCAAGCGATGATGAGGTCATGCTCGGATTTTTGTCCAATATGTTCCAGGAAAGATGGTCACAAATAGAGCAACAAACGGAAGCAGTCGACGTACCGCAGCATGCGAATGAAATGCCAGCAGGCACAGAGCCGCCGGCATTACCCATGGATCTAGATGAGATTCCCGACAGGCCAGCAGCAGCAGAAGACATAGAGCCGCAGGTTTTACCAATGCAGACGGATGAGCTGCGCGACAGGCCTCCAACAACAGCAGAAGGCATAGAGCCGCCAACATTGCCCATGCAGACGGATGAGCTGCCCGACAGGCCACCAACAACAGCAGGAGGCATCGAGCCACCAGCATTGTCTATGAATTTGGATGAGCTGCCCGAAAGACCGATTGTGACTTCCATTGAAGTTATATACCAACCGCCCAGTGTAATTGCAGATGCTGGACAATTAGTTAATCTGACCGAAATAAGCACAACTGGTAGCCCGATCTTAGTGGACGCCTCACAGCTCCCAAAGAAATCGCTAGTAATGCAAAGTGCAGCTAATCAATCTGCGGGAATGCAGCTACTAACCAGATCGGAACGCGTAGAACGGGAGCTTCGTGAAGATCTAAGCTTTTTAGTGGAGCACAAGCACTTGCTGCGTCTCATGGTGGATCATACCAAGTATTTGAGCGATAAACAGCAGCGGGAAGATCAGCTACGAAATTATCAATCGCTCGCTAACAGATCCCATCCAACAGACGATAGCGATGAGAGGAGCGAGGGAGAACAGAACATTCGGTATGTCGCATTGCCTGCCATATACACATACGATCCAAAAATGATCTTGGAAATGCCCGAGTGGAAGCCTCGTGTTGTGCACAATCTAATCGGAGCACTGATCCGGAACGACCAGATTGACATGCGTGCGACTGGATTCATCGAGACGCGCATGGAGGCAGCATTTGCTTTTCGTGTGCTCCTCGAGCTGAAGGCAGCCAATATAATTAGTCTAAGCCCCGATGCGCGGTATGCCTCGCTGCTTTAAGGTGCTGAAATTAGAACTAAATTAAAACTAAATTAAATAAATAATCCGAATGGAAAATGGGCAAAAAGGATACCCATCAAAATATGTAGAGAATACATTAAAAACATATAATTTAAGATTTTAAGATTTCATTTTCAGATGGATCAAAAATTACCAAAACAAAGAAAAAGTATACATTTAATTTCGACTTTGGATTTCATATTTTTCATATTTCAGTTTATAAATAAAAATATAAAATATATCGTGTGTTAATGTTGTGTCGTTTGTTTGTTTGTTTAACAAATATCTCGTTGTAGTTGTACTGTTTGAATATACATTTAATTATAATTATAATTTTGAAATCCATTAGGCGAGGATCGTCGTGGTGGTGGCCGCGATGGTGGCTTCGTTCGTGAACGCGGTGGCTTTGAAAGACGCCGTCGCGACGATGGCGACATGAATAACAATCAGGAAGATGGGGGCGAGGATGGTGAAAAGAAGGCAAGGGAGTTTTATATACCACCGGAGCCGACCAATGATGAGACCGAGATGTTTAGCACCGGCATCTCTTCGGGCATAAACTTTGCCAAATACGATAATATTCCCGTCAAGGTATGTCGGATCAATCAATTAGAGAAACTTATCACTAATCACGAAATTAATTTCAGGTGACTGGCGAAAATGTGCCGCAGCCAATTAAGAACTTCGAGAATGCGCGATTGCGCGGCATTGTGCTGGAGAATGTGGTTAAATCGGGATATGTGGTGCCCACGCCCATACAGAAGGTATCGATACCTGTAATTGCCGAAGGACGTGATTTGATGGCCTGCGCCCAGACGGGCTCCGGCAAAACGGCCGCCTTCTTGCTGCCCATACTTAACAACATTTTGGAAGAGAGTCATGATCTAGAGATTGGCAAGCCGCAGGCGGTGATTGTCTCGCCGACGCGTGAGCTCGCCATTCAGATCTTTAACGAGGCTAGAAAATTTTCGTATACCACATATCTGAAGATAAGCATCGTTTATGGCGGCACCTCGTTCAAATATCAGAACGAGTGCATTACCAAGGGCTGCCATGTGCTGATTGCCACACCGGGACGTCTGCTTGATTTTGTGGAGCGCACATTCATAACATTCGATGATACACGTTTCGTCGTTCTCGACGAGGCCGATCGCATGCTGGACATGGGCTTCTCGGAGAGTATGCGTAAGATTATGCATCATCAGACCATGCGTCCGGAACATCAGACATTGATGTTCTCGGCCACGTTCCCGGAGGAGATCCAGCGCATGGCTGGTGAATTTTTGAAAAACTATGTCTTTGTTACCATTGGCGTTGTCGGCGGCGCCTGCTCCGATGTGCAGCAGACCGTCTATGAGGTCAACAAGTTTAACAAACGCTCCAAATTGATGGTCTGTCAAAAGCATAACATTTTTATTTGTTTGTTTTAAATAGTTTTTTTATTTTGTAGGAAATATTACGCGAGGGCGCCGATGGCACCATAGTCTTTGTGGAGACAAAGCGTGGCGCCGATTTTCTTGCCTCGTTCTTTTCGGAAACTGAATTCCCGACCACCTCCATACACGGCGATCGCCTACAGAGTCAGCGCGAGCAGGCTTTGCGCGACTTTAAGACTGGCACCATGAAGGTGCTCATTGCCACATCGGTAGCCTCGCGTGGTCTTGGTTAGTCAGCTTTTGCACCCCCTAAAAAAACATTTATACTAATCATATTGCATTCTTTACAGATATTAAGAATGTTAAGCATGTTATCAACTATGATATGCCCACCAATATTGATGATTATGTGCACCGCATTGGTCGCACTGGTCGTGTGGGTAATAGTGGACGTGCCACATCATTCTTTGATCCAGAACAGGATCGCACTCTTGCCGGTGATCTGATCAAGATCTTGGAGGGTTCCGGCCAAGAGGTTCCGGATTTTCTAAAGGAAATTGGCGGTGGCAGCAGCTATTGTGGCTCCAAGTTTGGCGGCATTGATGTTCGCGGCGGTGTTAGTATTTATTTATCATAATTATTGTTATTAGAGAGAGTATGGTAACAGACGTCATGACTATATATATTCTTGATCAGTATCTATAGCCTAATCGATCTGTCCGTTTGTCTCTATGCAAAAGAGCCTCTCAGCTGGAAAATTTAAACTAAATCGTGTCAAGGGAATAATCGGTTGAAAGTTAAACAATTTTTGTTTGATATTTTAAACAAACTTGGAATTAACGAGCTCTGACATGATCTAATTATATCATTATATATATACTATATATCCCAATAAGAAAAATCGTTCGAAAATGGGTTTTTCAAGACCTTTTCTCCCAATTTAATTAATTTAATTTTCGGTTTGCCGAACATGGCTTTTCTTGTAATTTATTTTATTTCTATTTTTTTTCTCATCCACAGGCCAAAAACGGGCACATTGAGAACTTGGAGGATGAGGAGGAGTGGAATTAAATTAGTATTCTATATGATATGCATATATTTTTAAAGCACTTTGACTAGACATCTCTCACACCCAAAAACCCAACAATCTTTCAAATATTTCAATTGTGCTTTCATACAAAACAAAATTCATCGCGAACAAACATTATTTATGTTAACCTTATATAAACATTGATATATTCGTAAAACAATATTATATGAATATCATATAATTTGTATTAGCAATGCAGATAATGAATGATGCATTCAAATTATTCATTTCATTAAATTTAATCATCTTGTGCATTTCGTTTGATTTTATTAATATAAAATTAAATAAAACCACTGACAACGTCATCTTTTAATTGCGTTCTATATTTTTTTTTTACATTTTATTTTTTGCTTGTTTTAATAACCAGCCCTTGATATATTCAAGTTAGTTTTTACAGTTATAATTAACAATTAACGAACGCTTAAGTGAAACGAGAAGAGCACGCGAATACCCTTCAAAACAAAATCATATGTTTGCTCTTTTTAGATGGCGGTCTGCATTCGAAATGCTTGTCACTTTACCAGCTCTTTCTCTTTGCGCGCTTCGCTCTGTGCTTTGCTTTGTTATCTGCCGGCTTTTTGCATGCTGCAGCCGCGCTCCCTTAACACGGACACGCTGTCCATGCCCCCGCCCCGCCCCTGATGAAGCTGTCATAGAGCGTGTATGAAAACAAAAAAGGCGACACAAATTTTGGGTTTCTGTGTTGCTTTGCTTTGTATAAACGCACACGCATACGCACACAACAAAATCAATAAATGAGAAACTCACCACACTCTCTTGTCGTTCTGCAGCCGTGTTGAACATTCGCTTTGTTCAACATTTGCGTGTCATTTCAGTCTCTGACGGCATTTTCCAGCGTGCAAACGAGTTTTAAACCGCGTGCGCATTAAATAATTATTATAACATTTTGTGGTATTTAATAAACAATACATTTAAATTAGCTAAGGGAAAATCAAACAGTTACGCGCTAAAAAGTGTGCTATGCAAAAAGTTACATTAAGTATTTTTCGCTGTTGTTGCTCTTGTTGTGGCATTGGCTTAACCTAAATCGCTTCTTAGCGATTATGAAATAACGGTTTCGAGTGCCACTCACTGTTGTTGTTATTGTTGCTTAAATGCGGCTTTGACGAGAAACAACAAAGTAGGCAAAACAAGAAGCAGTTCTGACGTACACGCAAATTAAAATTTACGCTATAAGTTGTGGATAGGAGGGGGCGGGGGTTATGTGATGGCAAGATCCCGTACATTGTAGCCTTACTCCGCGCGGATATTAACTAGCCCCTCCCCCCCCACACAAGCTTGGCTAGCCGGCGCAGCAAACGGATAACTGTTTGGCATTTTGCGCGAGTTTTTGTTCTATTTTTATTTTTTTTTGCGTTGCGTGTTTTCGTTTTCATTTCCTTTTTCTATGCTGTTTACAACGGGAGTGAAAGAGTTTTTTCCAGGCTAGAGCCTTCATATTCTTAATCTATTCGTTTTTGTTTGTCTTTGATAGTGTTAAAATTTTGTTCTCTTGCAAATCGCGCAAATCTCTTATCCACAGTTTAAGAGATTGAATTAACAGTTAATCCTTCTGGAGGCCTTCTTTAATGATCGAGCAAAAATACAGTTGCAGGGAAAGCTCTCTTCTTTGGTCACAAATTAAGAGTATTGCAAAGACGGGAGTTTACAACATAAACTTCTATTACTTTTATTTTGCGTGTTTAATTTACGTATTCCCATTTTAATCACAAACGATAACGGCGAAAAAATGATTAATGAACATATTTCACAGGCTTCCGTTTTTACTTAATCAACACGCGACGCAATTGTTGAACTCAACATCAATTGAATCCTTTAGAACCTCGAGAAAGCAATTTATCAAAAAAATAAACTAATAACAAAAGTGAGCGAAAAACAAACAGAAAACAAAACGTTTTAATAGAAAAAGAAAGAAACTGAAAAAACAATATTTGTTTTTGGTTTGCTTTCTTATATTTTTATTTTGGCACACGATGAGCCAAAGTTTTGATAGTTTAATGCAAGGCGGCGGCGACTTCGAGGAGCGGCAGTCCTCGGAGGATGTGCCGGAATCGACGACAACTACAACAACAACAACAACAGCCGGCGACGGAGCTGCCGCCATGGCAGGAGCTGCTGCTCTGCGGGACGAAGACTTCAGCGAGGACAACAATTTCGAATCAAATTTGCGACGACGCAAAGGCAAAATCATATCCTGTGCCAAGGAGACTATTGAGAACGGTGAGCAAAATAAATATTACAAAATATTCCATTCTGCATTTGCAACTAGTTGTAAATATGTTGCAAATGTTCTGCTGAAATGTTGTAAATGTAACTTGATGCGTTGACAGCTGCAAATAAAGTTGTAGAATCTATGCAGGACTTTCAGAGATGAGCTGCCTTGCAAGTCGTCTTGCAGGACATGTCAGTAACGTTGTCTGCGAGCGTTCTAGTTTTGGAAATTTGATTGCTTTGGTGGACTTTTCAAATTTAAAGTTACCTTTTATTCTTTTAGGGGGATTTTGTCCCTTCGCTACTCAAGCGATTGGCTGTGCGCTGCCAAATAATACATATTTCCGCATTATACTTGACAAAGAAAGAAAAATATTTAATTTCATTGTTATAATTCCTTACGAATTTGAACCGGCGACCTTCCGCTTGTTAGGTCGACGCGCTGACACAATTCAGTCAGTCAGTTAGAACAAACTCTTTTATAAAGAACTAAACAATAACTTGAGGTACATTAAAGGTCCTTAGCGAACCTTAGTTTAGATAGACAAGAAACATGTCCCAAAAACACTTAAAAAACAAAGATAAATAAAAAATAAAGATAAAAAAAATATATATAGATTTACGAACTTCACATTCTGCGATTCCGTTACTAAGTGTCAGTTGTCGGTAACATATTAATGGCAAAAGTACCGCTTCTTTAAATAAACAGCTCATCGGTTTGATTTGATTTACCTAACCGCCGCAAAATTTTCCTTCTAAAGGTTAAAAAATTCGGTTAAAAAATGGAAGTAGGGTCTCCATTTTAAGGACTCTCCGAGAAAAGGCCATCTTTAAATGTTAAAACCTGTGGGATTAGTAACATTTAAAGTTACCTTCTTGCTTACCTTATTTGTTATATCAGCTGTTTGTGGTAATGATACTTTCCTATTTTCCATCGATAAGAAATTCGATAAATCATCGCAAAAAATATGAATATGCAAATGTGAAAAGCGTGGTTTCTTATGGGAAAACTTACCATGTTGCAAAAATGTAACATTCGCAAAAAATGTAAGAAATGATGATAGTGGAATTAGGCTATTAGTTGTATTTTTACTGATTTTTAAGTACACGTTTTGTGTAATTTATATACCCTGTAACCATTGAAAATGGTTAAAAAGGGTATTACAGTTTCGTGCCAATGAAAGTAACAGGCAGAAAGAAGCATCTTCGACCCCATAAAGTATATATATTCTTGATTAGATATCAATACCCAAGACGATCTAGCCATGTCCTTTGTCCGATAACTCGCCCCTTTTTCAAACAATCGATAAATATTGACATCGAAATCCTGTTTTATGAGAAATTCTCTTAGATTTTAAGAGCTAGCGTCATCAAAATTGACATGTAGAATAGTATATACAAATCAAGTATCTTTCAATTTATAGCTATTTGGTGTTGTTAGCAGAAGGTTCAGGGTATCCGCTAGTCGGACACTCTAGTCTAGAGCTCTCCAACTTGTTTATCATAATTTATTCGCCGTTGTTAAAGGGTTTCTATCGTATTTTAAATTAGTTATGTTTTTTATTTATTCATTTCCTAACTGACTTAATATATAAGTTATAAAAGCGCCATATACACTAATTATTCGATATCACCTAGAAGGTTTATAATGCTTGTTTCGTACTGTTATTTCTACTACTAAAAGGCTTTGTAAATTGGCCATAAAGACGCGTGTCTAACACGCCCTTCAGCCCTCTCCAGAGTATTTCGAGAGCTACCAATTTTGTAGTATGTACATGATTATGGCCAACCCCTAAGCTGGCACCCTGAAAGCCAAGTCATAAATATCACTTGGACTCGTATTCGTATGATATAAAACACACGCAAAGCACTCGGAGCCTTGACCCATAAAAAAGCTAATGAAATTAATTAACCAAACCTAAAACACGGAAAAAGTTCATTGAAAATATTTAACTTAAAGCTCTCGAAATCCCGCAAAATGGGTATAGAAAAAAGGTTTTGGCTTAAATTGAAAGTCACTTTTGTGTTTCAAATAAATAAATGCAAAATAAAGCTTTTAGTTTAATTTAAATCTATGCAAAAAATAAAATAAAATAAAACAAAAAAAATACAAATGAATGAATATTAGCTTTATCGCATTGATTCAACTTAAAATTGTTAATTAAATAATTGTGCTGATGAAAAACTTAAAGCTAATATGATATATGATAAAGTGTCTAACTAAGGCCTTCTTTTTACTGAGCTAATCGTGCTTTAGTCCAGCTGAAAATTTAAGCTCAGTTTAAGTACACTCAGGTTTTCATTTTTCAACTAAAATGCAATAAGATAAATGAACAATTTCATTCAACAAAAGCTCAAAAGAATGAAAATGTGTTGATTTTAATGTCAAAAATTATTTACATTTTCGATGACGTGTAATTAACAATTAAACCAACATATTTAACAATGCAATCAGGTCGATAAGTCGCTGGAGCTAGGACCTGGTACGGGTTCTAAAAAGTTAAATATGCCGTCGGATCCAATCAATTAAAAGGGCAAATGCATGTTCAGTAGCAGCAAATAAATAATTCAAAGTCCCTTCAGCGGCAACTTTCAGTGGCAACTTTTGCAGCGAGTCGCCGTTGCTGCCACACAAGGCGAGGGGGAGGGGGGGGGTGGGTGCAGCTGACTCATTCCTGTGCTGCAAGTGCACAAGAGGCGAGTCCTGCGTGCGCAGTTTTTATTATTTACGTTGACAGCACAATTAACTTGGTGAGGAGGAGGGGAGTATTTACGTTAATTCGAAAATCATTCTGGGACAACCTGATAACCGGGTCGAAACATAAAAAAGTACAAAAAGTAAAAAAACAATATTAACAGAGTAGGATATATGTAGGTAGAAACTGTCAATCTAAGTTTTTAAAAAGTAGCACAGCTAAGGTTCGAACCCTAATATATGCAGCTCATATACAGAACACTGCACGTAATTCTTATTGGACCCTATTGGAATATTTTTAAAGATGGAACAGATTCGATATTGTTTAAATTTGAACAATTTCAACCCATTTGTTAAGCACTCTTCTAATATACATAATTAAGGGATAAAAAGAGTGTAAGGGACAGATAAATATATTATTAGCTAAGAGAGACAGAGAGAGCAGAGGCGATAATTAAATTCTAATTAGGCTTGTTTTCTTTATACATATGTGGCCAATACTAATATTGTGAATGCTTAAAGCGAGAAAGTTTATTTGTATGCTCTCTGCGCCATTGGCATTCGAATCCTTTATCTAAGTTATGTAAATAGCCGAGAGCGCGTATGTTAGCAGCGTCCATTGTGAACAATGAGAGAGCGTTAGCTTTGATGTTTGTGTGCTCTTAACTAGAAGAAGTGCGAGAGCCCATTTAGCATAGACACGCGCTTTAAGAGACGGATCAGTATGTGCGCGTCTTTTCCACCGATCGGTCGTATTCCCCGCGCATGTGTAGCAAATCGGTTACAATAAGACAGTTAGACAGTCGTATATAATATATCCGTCTGTGCTCCGCCCGTGTGCAAAATGGCCACTTTGCCGAAAAGAATGATAGAGAGAGAGAGAGAGCGAAAGAGGATAAAAGGGCGTAATAAAGAAAATATTTTTACTGTAAAACGCGTTTGTCGGCTGCCGGATCACCGCACTAGCAGAGAGCCTTTATCCAGAGAGTAGACATTGCGGATAATGTAAGCGTGGGTTACACACATACATATAAGTTTAAGTCGTGCATAAGCTATTGTATTAGTGCGAATGCCGGCTTAGCAAAGACGCGACCCTATGATGCGACGATGTGAGCGACTGCCCTGTTAACTGGCCGTATTATCCGCGAGTGTGCATTAAATCTTTTTGAAAAGTAGCAATTTCCCGTTTTATGTTCTTCCTAACCGCTGCTAATCGGTAAGATAAGTTTAAAATTCTTTGATTAATATGCTTATAAATATATAGAAACATACAGACATAATCCACATAGCTTATCGTTCGATTAAGAAAATATACATATAGTCTTATATAAAGCCCTCTGCGTTGACCACATTGTCGATCGTGCGTGTTTTCCAAGTGTAGTTAGTTTTCTTATTTGACAAATTCGATACGCGCCCATTTCTAGTTGGAGCTCACACATAGATAAAAAGAGACAAATACAAATGCGCCGTTGGGAACGGTTTTAGCGAGCGAGCTCAGATTTTCGTGGGCTACGAAAAAATCCAAAAAGTGGCAGACATGACTTTTAAACTTTTCTCGCCTGACGTAAACGCTCGTCTCGTCCCGCCACGCCCCGCTCTAGGGAAAGGGGAACGCAACTGCATCGCGTGCGTTAGCCTGGCGTGAAATATTAGAAGTTTTGCTGGCAATTGGGCTCTGGAGAATTTGAAATGGAGGGCTGTATTGATTTTCTAGCTACGATAATGTCTGGCGGCCATTAAAGGATACGTCTGTTTGCAGCGCACCTCGTACGCTCCCCTTCGTAGTTATTGTCATGTACTCCATTTGCCATCACTGTCACAGTGCCCCGGGTTGATTATCTGGGCCCCATTGTCCAACTCGTTGGCATTGTTTAGTGTTTGTTTTTGCCCTTTTGATGATTGTTTTCGTTGCCAGCCCCACGAGGAGCGGCTTCTGCTGCTCCCCTTGCTGTCGACTAGCTATCAATCGAGGCGTCGCCCGCAGACGTTTTATGGCTCCTCGGTCTGGCCATAGATTGGCATTGCCTTCTGTTTTATTAACCCCTTGGCCTTGTTTCATATGTATTAATGTATCTGTTCCTTTGCTGTGCGCCGTTAACTTTTTTTTTTAGCTTTATTATTAAACATGTCTAGTGGCTAGTTCTTAATTTGATAATAACTACCTCGATTTACAGGGCTTTGCATGTACAATTAGGTTTTTCTTAAGTTCCATAACAGATTATAAGCATTTTCCTCTATTTTGATTAACAACTTTCCTGATATCCCAAAAATTACAAAAACTGCTTTGTTTTTATAACCATAAACGAAGAAATAA